TCCAGCGATAGTAAACCGAAAAAAAGGGAGAGGGTGAAACGCGAGGGAAGGCAAGACCAAGGGTAGAGCCACAATCAGAACAGGGCTGGGTCCAGGAAGAGCGAGCCCTGGCAGCCCAGCAAGCTTCCCATTTCGGGCTAAAGCCGAGAAGAAAACAGCCCCAGGGAGCAGACAATGAGCCACCGCCCCAGGAGTCGGGGCCCCCAGCTCGCAGGTGGCAACTTCCCGGACCTCGCGGGGCAGGTCCGAGTCCCAGGCCGCTCCCATCAGCCAGGCCGCGGAGAAGGGAGGGAAGAGGGCGACGGCCCGCGTCCGGGACCAGCGGGCCTGTCTGCACACTTACCCCAGGGGAGGAAAGGTCCCCGCCCCGGCGAGGCGCCTCGGTCCGAGCTCCTGGCGGGCTGCGGAGCTGCCCCGGGCGAGCGCGCGGTGCTAGGAGTGGAGAGCCGGGCAGGACAGCGCGGCGGGGCGGGAGGAGCCGCGCGGGAGCACAGACACTGGTAAACTTGGCCGGGCTGCCACCGAGCCCGGCGGCGCCAGGGAGTGGAGGTTGGGAGCCTTCGGCAATGGCGACGGCCCGGGCCGGAGGGGAAGCGGAACAACCGCCGCCGCTGCGCGTGGCCACAACCCTCAGGGAGGGCGAGGGCGATGGGCGGGGGGCGGGGCAAGAGCACGGCCCCGCCCTGACCGCAGCCTGGGCTCGGGGGACAGAGTTGTGCACAACCTCCCAATGGGCGGGCTCGCGCGGGGATCCTGGGAGTTGTAGTTTAATCATGATTACTGCTCCCCCCACCAACACACACCCTGCCTTTTTTGGGTGGGTGGAGTGGGGATGGTCTTTGTATTGAGAAGGACAGCCATTTCCTCATTTAATTCAGCATTGCACTGTCTCCAGTCAGGTTGTGCATACTGATGATCCTGTCAGAGCTGCCAGAGGATTGCTGACATATTTGATCCAATACATTTCTGGAAATTCATCCATTCTCCATTTTGCTTTTTATTTCTTTTTTTAGCCTACAAATTCTTACTACATTTTGCTGCTGATTTAAACCCAACTCTTCGCAGATTAAGGCTTCTTTATTTTTTCCACAAGAGTCAATGAATGTATTCATGTATTCAACACACATTTCAGTGTCTAATATATAGGATACCCATTAGTCATCAGGGATACAGGTGAACATGACTCACCTTGTCTTTGTGAAACTTACAAATATGAAAAGAGTAATTAAAGTACTAATATCTGGTATGAGGAAAAAACTGAGGGAGATTACTTTGGATAGAGTGGCCAAAGAAGCCCTCTTTTCAGAGTTGACCTTTAAGCCATGAGAAACATCCAAGGGAAAGCATTACAGGCCGGAGGAGAAAATAGGTTTCCATTGTCAGTTAAGAAAGCCTATGTAGCCAAGTGTGGTGGTACATGCCTGTTATCCCAAAGGTTCAGGAGGCTGAGGTGGGAGGATCCCAAGTTTGAGGCCAGCCTCAGCAACTCAGCAAGGCCCTAAGCAATATAGTAAGACCCTGTCTCAAAATTTTAAAAAAAAATTAATAAAGGCTCAGTGGTTAAGTGCCACAGGGTTAAATCCCCAGTACCAAAACACCAAAAACCAAACAAATGAACAAAAAACAAAATTTGAATGCCATAGTAGGAAGTCTGCAATTCATTCCAAGAATCCACTAAAAGGTTTTAAGTGAAGCAGTGATATTATCTGGCTTATACTTCAAGATCACTAGACTGCTAATTGGAGAACAGAGTATAGGGATGCAAGAGGAGAAGGCAAGTGAATGAGAGAGGCAGTAATCATGATGGACACTAGGCAGACAACAGTGGAAAAGGAGAGAGGTAATCTCAGGAGGCAGAGCAAAAAACTCAATTGATATATCATATTTAGAGAAAAGAACCAAGAAGCAACATGGCAACTGAAAAATGTTCCCATTATTAAACACACCAAAAACTGGATTAAAAAGGGCATCCTTACAAAGGCATAACTAATCCTGCAGAAAAAAAAAAAAGAAGAAGAAGAAGAAGAATGTTTTTGGTAGTCTTCCAAACTTCACACTAACCCAAACAAGAAGGAAACCAGAGTGGTATGCAGGGCAGAAAAACCATGGTTGTTCAGATTGAGAGTACCTACTTATCAAAGAAATCTGTATGGTTTTAAAGGCTGTAAAGGAGACAAGAGAGCAAAGATAAGGCCTTGGACCTGTTCAGGAAGATGGGTCTGTGATCTTGGTAACTCAAAGGGGTTATACCCTCAAGAACATACTGGGAACATGCAGAATATTTACTTTATCCTTGGCTTGGCATAGACAGAAAAATAAAAATTAGTCTGTAGAATTCTTAACTAAATTTTCCCTTAAAAGTTTAAAAGTTCCACTTTATAGCAAAATTCAGGAAACTTCATGTCAGGAAAGTAACTGATAATGCTTAATTAAGGATCTGGAAGAAACAAATACAAATCCTCACTGCATAGATGCACCTTCAACCCAGCTCTCAAAGAATTCCACAGATGAGAGGATTTCAAAAGCTAAACATAAGTACCCAAAATATGCTTATAATACACCCAAGGAAATAACCCACCATGAGCAGATCAAGAGAAATTAAAACAGACACGAAGTCCATATAGATGTTGGAATGACTGGTTAGAGAATATAAAATAAGTTTATTTAAATGATTAAATATGACAGGAACTAAAAAACACAAGAAACAAAACTAATTTTTAAAAAAATGACTAAGCAACTTTGTAAAGAAACCAAGTAGAATTTTCAGAAATAAAGAGTAACTGAAACTAAATCCAATGTTTGGGTTAAAAAGCAGATTGCACACAATTGAAAAGAAAATTAGTAAACTGGAAGACAGATCTAAAGAAATTACTGAGAACAGGATGTGCCCCTGGTTTCAATCTACAGTGGGTTGAGAGGCTGAAAACAGTTCAGAAACAGAGAAAAAAATGAAAAAAAATTTAAGAGACATGGAGATAGACTAAAAATATCTATCATATCCCTAATGAGAATTCATGGAGAGAAAAAAACAAAAGGTCTCTGTTGTTAGTAACATCAAACAACAGTTCATGATGAAATAATGGCTCCTCATGATGAGAATGTTGAGAATCTTCCAGAACTTATTAAAGATAAGAATCTTCAGATTCAGGAAGCAAACTGAATTCCAAGCAGTGAAAAAAGAAATCTCAAACATATCAAAGTAAAATTGCAGAACCCCTGAGATATAACAACCAAAAGTAAAAGACATTGCCTACGAAGAAACAACTTATTAAATTCATAGCATATTTTTCCAAAGCATCAAAGGGATGTTAGTCTATAATGAAATAAAATTTTCAAAGTACCAAGAGAAAACAACTAAGTGTCCACCTAACTAAATTATCAATCAGATGAATGAGGCTGAAATAAAGATATCATAAAAATTTAAAAAAGATATTACTAATAACAGAGACATACTAACACAACCCCTAAAAAGACATAATTTAGAGCTGGGTGTGGTTGTGCTTACCTATAATCTCAACAACTCAGGATGTTGAAGCAGAAGGATCAAAAGTTCAGAGGCCAATCTCAGCAACATAGCAAGGCCTAAGCAACTTAGCAAGACCCTGTCTCAAGTTTAAAAACCAACAAAAATTTTTTTTTTCTAAATGGTCTGGGGATATGGCTCAGTGGTTAAGTGGCCCTGGGTTCAATTCCCGGTACCAAAAAAAATAGATAATTTAGATTATATAACTAGATTTAGATCTTAAAAAGAAGGTGAAAGATACAAGGTATCAAATCAATAGCTATTTACCTGCCATCCTATATCATTAATTAGGACAATTGTGAAGAATATACTTAGTGCATACTATTTCATTCTCTCATGGTCTACCAAACCCTACATTTGGCCTTGAGGCTAGAGCTTGTGTCTGGAAATCCTGTCAGAGGTCGCTGTGGAACCAGCAGGGAGCGAGGCCCTAGGGCTCCCAAGCCAGAAATGTGAGCTCAGAAATGTGACCTCAGATTCTGCTCCTCCAGGGCCTTAGTTTCCCACTTCCATAGGAAGCCACGGAGGTTGACTGAGGACCCGCTGTGCAGCCTCCTTAGTCCCTCCTCTCACGGGATGCTGTGGACTCTCCGTGTGCTCAGAGGAGCAAGGAAGGACAGGTTATGGCATAGGGACATCATCATCTGGATAAAATGACAAACATGGTCATTGTTCGACACAGTGCTTGTGGATGAGAAAATACAATCCAAACAGTACATGAGGGTGAAAAGCTCATGAGCAGCAAGATGGTCCAGGTGGCCCTTTCTCTATAGGGGATAGTTTTGGAGATAGGTTGTGAAGGTGCTAGAAGTGCCTCTTATGCCTGCACAAGAGACATACCATGTACCCACTAGAGAGGGACATGAGCCCTATAAGAATGACATCCCGGAATATACCCAATATGGAAAATAAATGCCTGAGGAAGTAACTAATTGGTAAAATAATACAGGATTCAGCAATAAATACAAGAACACGTGAGGTTACACTGGGGATGTTAGTAGTAAGATTGAGAAGTGAGCAATCAAGGAAATGTAGAAGACCCACAGAAACACAATGAAGCACAGGGTCGGATGTAAGGATTTATCTTTGAACTATGCCAAGCAGGAGCTTCTGGGGCTGAGGGTGATGGCCTGGAGGACACTCAACAGGCAAGTGGCACAAATGGAGAACCCCTCAAAAACCTGTATGAGTAAAAGTGATTTACAGTTTGTGTCATTCCAAAAATCATGAGACACATAAACATTTGTAGCTATGTACCCCATAATTATCAGCATCCCCAGGTGGATTAGAGCCAAGAGACCAATGATGAGGTCGGTGGTCTTAAGCCTGAGTGGAGAAGGAATGTGAAGATGTGGAAGAGAAGAAGGAGGGTTTTGGCTGAGATCCCAAGGCCAACTTCAGAGAAAACAGCATTTCTTACACTAATATATAGTTGTTTGGTCTTTTTCATTTTGGGGGCAAGGAATCACATGGTATATATCTTAAAAGAAAATGAAGAAAATGTCTTTATTTCAAATAGTAACACTTTCATCAATTTCAATGTATATTCTTATCATCAGGAAGTATGTGGATTCACCCCAACACATCCTTTTCCCACTTCAGCACTCAAGTCTCTCTGACACCCTCCAGATGCCATTTTCCTAATCTTCCTAAAATAGGTCTTGATTATGTAATGATTGTTGGGCTCCACTGTACATTAGCTTTTCTAAATGTTCATAATTACCATATATTATTGAAAATAGTTTTTGATTATAATCTCATCCCAAGGTTTTCTGGGGTAGTGTCTTGTTTTTCATCTTTCTCTTCTTGAGTAAGCTGTTCAAATTGTTTGAATTTGCATCCATGATTTTCCATTGAGTTCAAGTGTGACCTTGGGCAGTCTATATGGTGAACTCTGATCATGTTACCTATAAAATATAGGCAGTCATAGTACCTGAATTCTAGAGCTATTATGAGTGAAAGAAGATGAAGTACCTAATACAGAAGTGTTTTTGACATATAATGACCTCTAGAAATATTGGCCATTATTTTTTAATTATGCAGTTCCTCAGATATATGACTTGGGAGATTTATTTCAGTTCTTTTAATAATGACTACCTCTGTTGTTGCCTCAAAAAAAGAAAAAAATAATAAAGCAATGAGTTAATTCTGGAAGAACACCTCTAGTCACATTAACATATCTTTTTTGGTTTATAGAAAACATTAAACTGCATAAAATTTACAAAGAAAAATGACCATATTTGAAAACAGCTACAAGAATCAAAGTAGAACACAGGATTGTAATGAGCAGAGTCACAGAACATACTAAAGAGGTATGTATAGTCAGTCCCACTGGAACTTGTAGAGTCACATTCTTATATATCTGTGGAGAGAGGATAAAAAATAAGAAACATTTCAAATGTATGTCCTAAAGGGAGACTGCTATTTCTTGGATTTTTTTTAATTTGATCTTTTTCTCTTTTCTTTTAAATATTTTTTAGCCAATGCTATATTACATACAACATTAGTGTTTGAATGACTTTCAGATCCACCATTTCATTTAATGTTATAGATTCAAATTCCCATAATAATTGATTTCACATTAGTTTGAACTTTTTCTACTTGTTATATAGAATTCAGTGTATTATTTTTTTAAAAAAACTATATACCAGCATCACCTCTATAATCAATATAAACAATTACTTCCTTTGGCTATGTTTTACCTTTGAATATAGAATTATAATTTGAGCTCTAGAGAAAAAACAATAAAATAAAGTATCTGTTTAGTTGTTTTGTAGTATCTCTCCTCAGATAGCTTTTTCCAGTTTGTTATTCACAAATCACAAAACTGAATATATCCTTTCCTATGGCTAGCAATGAAAAATTCTCCTGTGTTCAATTTACTTTCTATGTTCTGTTTGGTTTTGAAGATAAAGGGGTTTAATTAGGAACCTTGGGAAATTTTATGTTTAAAAACAAGTTTTTAAATAAGTTTTTTTTTTTTTTAATTAAAATTTAGGTAACCTGGGAATACTTTCCTTTTCTGTTTATACACACCTGGATTTTAATTTCACATTAAAAAAAAAAAAGCCAGTTATCAATAAAATCTATAACAAACACTATCTGAAAATCAACTTAAAAAAAAAGGCATCTTAAATCTTAGTTTAGAATACCACCTAATTAATGGCCTAATACCTATTTTCCTGGTACATATAAAGAATAAATAAAAGGAAAACAATCTATAAACTCTTAAGCATACTCTTCACTCATATAAAAAAATCAAATGCAATTCTCCAGATTTTTTCAGGTACAAAATGGCAATGGCAGTCTACTGAAAATGGTAATCTATATTGTGTAAGAGATTAGCAGCCATCCATCTTCCTAAAAGTTGGTTCAAAGAATGTCCTCCAATAAAAAACAGCAGTGCTTTACAGTAGGTCTTCACTGTAAGCAGTAGTTTCCTGAGCTAGCTGGTGGACAGATTTCTAAGCAACCATAAGAATATTACTTTAAATTTAAATATCCACAACAGTACATATGAATAAACCTGCCCTCTGGTTATCTAACTGACAGTTTTTGTTGCAAGTTCACTTGGCTCCTTGTAAAAATATACTAAAAATTAAAATACAAATTGTACCATTCAACCAAACAAAGCAGGCCTTAAGGAGAATTAGAAACAAAGAAACTAACAGTAATACAAGCACCAATTAAAAGGCAGCTCATAAAAGGGGAACAAAAGGATAGTGGGAAAAAAAAAAAGGAAAAGAGGTACTTTGTAAAGAGACTTATCATGATGAAGAGAGGAAAGAAGTAGACTTCTGTTAACAAAGAAAGGGGAGGGGGGTAAGTAGAAACTGTAGATTCCTAAGACAAAGCTGGTGCTTAGAAAGTATTAATGACCAATTTAATAATATCTGAAAACAAGCTGGGGAAGTCAAAACTACAAATGGCCCAAAGTGGCCCAGACTAGATAAAAAAAAATAGCAACTGTCTAGAAGCTTTATGGTAAGTTTAAATGATAGCACTGGGTTTTAGTTTCCTTTTTCTACTTCCTCTATGTAATATAATTATTTTCTTGTTAAAAAATAATAAAAAATTCTAAATAAAAATAAAGTTTTATTGATAAAGGAAAACAAAATGAACTTTACACTATTTTTCCTCAGCATTTCACACCTTTAAAAAGTGTATCAGCTATACTTATGTTCTAACCCAATGAGGCACAGGATTAACAGCCCTTAAATGATTGTATAACTTTACCCAAATAAGGAAACACTGTTACCATCAGTAGCAAAGAAACAACATTAAAAACTAACAAAAACTCACATTCTATGACAAAATACAAGACTTAAAAGAGGCAGCACTATCTAAAAACATTAAAATATTAGCTTACTGATTTATACTTCATGTTGTTCCACTGGCATATATCCTTACTCTTCAAAGCACAAGGAGCTGCCACTTGTGACTGAGCCCAGCACCTCAAAATCGGGAACTCTGAGAAAAGTAGTAGAACACAATGTCAGAAAATCTGAAATTGGACTCAAGGTTAGTCCTATATTGAACATGAACAAAAGTCATGGGATATGAGTCTCCAAACATTTTAATACACTATATATATGATTTGGACCCATCTATCACATACTGTTATTTTAGCATCTTTTTTTTTTAATATTTATTGTTTAGTTGTAGATGAATACAATACTTATTTTATTTATTTATTTTTTATGTGGTGCTTAGGATCAAACCCAGGACCTCACACACGCTGGGCGAGCGCTGTACTGCTGAGCCACAACCCCAGCCCAAGCATCTTTTTTTTAATGTGGATGGATGGCTAAGAAATTACAAAATTATAAAGAAATCAAATTTGACTTAACAAATCCCCCCGCCTTTTTTTTTTTTTTTTTTTTGGTGGTACTGAGGGGGACTCTTAGTCAAGCTACATCCTCAACCCTTTTAAGACAGCGTTTCACTAAATTGCCCAGGTTGCCCTTGAAGTTACTATTCTCCTGCCTCAGTCTCCTGAGTTACTGGTATTACAATGCATGCATCACTATGCCTGGCTCCATTAAAAATTTAACACAAAAGATTTTTAAGGTATAACATTTTTAAAGTGAACACATCCTAAGCATATAACTTGATAAATTTCCACATGAAAAACACCCATATAAAGAGCACTCTGGCTGGGTGCAGTGGCACATGCTTATAATCCCACCAGCTAAGGAAGCTGAAGCAGGAGGATTGTGAGTTCAAAGCCAGCCTCAGCAACTTAACAAGGCCCTAAGCAACTCATTGAGACCTGTCTCTAAATAAGATACAAAAAAGGGCTGAGGATGTGGCTCAGTGGTTGACCACCCCTGGGTTGAATCCCTCGTACCATAAATAAATAAATACATACATACATACGTACATACTCTGATCAAATCCAAAACAGCACTAGAACCACGACCACTGTTGCCTCAGAAGAGGCACTTTTCAAACTTTATTTAGAGTAAGTAAAAGATACTATTACTAGAAACAGAAAATTAGACTAGATGAGAAAAGTTATGGTAGCTGAAATTTTTTTGAATTTCTCATTGTAAAAGGTATGATGGTGGCAGATGTAAAATTAAAAACATCCTATCTGCCAGTTTTTAGACACAGTGCTATTAATTTTATAAACATTCTAGTAAGCCAGCCCAAATTCAAGGATACAAGGATCCAAAATCTGAAAGGGGCTTCTTTAAAAAAAAAAAAAAAAAAAAACTCAATTCAAAGACTGTAAGACTGTGAAGAAGAAAAAGCAAAAGAATAATTTTTTTTTCTTACTTTACCCAAATCTCCACAAAAAGAACAATTACAGAGCAAAACCAAAAGCTCATGAACAAAGTTTACAACAAAAGAGGTGACAGCTAGGCACAGTGGTACACACCTATAACACAGTGACTCAGGAGGGTGAGGTAGGAGAATGACAAGTTCAAGGCCAGGCTCAGTAACTTAGCAAGAATGTCTCAAAAAAAATTGGGGGGGGGGGGGGGGGGGGGGGGGAGAGCTTAGTGATAGAGAACCCGGGGGTTCAACCCCCAGTACTAAAAAAAAAAAAAAAGCAAGTGATCTAACCATACCTCTGGAGTCAGCTGCCAATTTCTGGGAATTAAAGGAGTCAGAGGAACATGATGAACTGCATCATGGGTACAATTAGGAAAACACCAATCATGAGAAACCCTACAGGTCAAATGGCCCAGGTCCTCTCAATACATTAGTTTTGAAGAAAAGAAGGAATGAGGAAAAACTGAACTAACAGGCATAATGGAAATAACAGATTTCTTTTAATGG